GCGCCGCTCGCGTCCGTAGACACGGTGTAACATTGGTTTTGCTTTGTTTCACAGAACTAATCGTGGCCTGGGTTGCGTACGTATATGTGGGGCGGAGCTATCAAAATAGGGGCAAGACCCTTTTGGGGTAGGGGCGTGTTTGTTTTGGTGATTTCAAATATAAACATTGGCTACCAGAAATCCCTCACTCTGCCTTTAATTGAGCAGTTTCATTAAAGCTTCTAAGGTGAAATGTGTCATTTCTGCAACACCAAATGGAACAGCAAGAAAATTGCTGTTTTCAGACAGGTTTCCTGAACCCTTCTCCCTGTCTGCCGTTGGTAGATAACTCTGCCCCAAATTTGTTGTTGTTTTTGAGAACAAGAGGTTTTTCCATGTTTTACATTTTACGTTTTCAGTGCTTTTTTGTTTTTATTTCAATTTATTCCAATTCATATAGTTTTTATTATGTTTTATATCGCATGATGATAACATAATTGAGTGAAAAAAATAATATGCATAACCTTTATTTTATTTTCAAAAGGTTTATGTATAATATGAAGTCATTTATACATTTTAAGAAATTTGTTTTTCAAAGAGCCCAACCTCTTTTTATGTATATGGTACTTTTTTTTAATAAAATATTATATAATATAATAATTTGATGGGAAAAAAAAGTTTGCTTTTATAATGAAATTTCTAATGTTTGATTGTGGAACCTGAGCATAGTTTGAGAAGATATGTGAGTTTACTGGGGGTTTCGCAAGAAAAAAAAAATCTAAGTGCAATATGTTTCCATTTTCTCTCCATTTCATCTCACTGCTGTCAATAAAAAAAACTTTTTTTTTATTAAATCGGTAACACTTTATGGTAAGGTCCTGTCTGTTAACATTGAATTAACAACAAACCATACTTTAACAGAAATGTATTAATTTCAAGTTGTAGAAATGAACATGAGTTAATGTATTATTATCAATGAACATGAACTAACAATGAGCAATAGTATATTTAATATTACGGATGTTTTTCATTACTACTTTAAGCATTAAGAATGATATGTATATATGTAAACAAGTTGTACCTTACTGAAGCTACAGACTTCTCGATCCAGTTCAGAAATGCATGTGTATTCAACACACGCCGCCATGAATGTTAAAAAGTCTCAGTGAGTGATTAGACATTGATCAGCTGATCGTTTTATATGCATTCTTGAGTGAACTGTAGCATCAGCACTACAAACAACCTTGACGTTGACTGCTGCTCAGAGATTGATATCACATGACAAAAGCACTTTTAATGCATGGAGATGTAAGCCGCAGCTTACAGCGCGGGGCTTTGTTAATGTGCCGGCCAGATTAATGATAAAGGCTATTGTCTTTCCTGGGTGCGGTGCTTCTTCACAGCTCACGAACAAGTTGCTGTTTGTGAGGAGATAGAAATCACAATTTAATATTCCTCCAAAGTGGTCCCAGCAGAGATGGGGCTCTTTGTTCTTGGTAATGATCAAGCGTGGAGATGAATAGAAAGGCTGAGCTTACACTAATGGGAGTGTTAACAGGTCGCTGCGGTGTGCCGCCCCTCCTCTGGTTGTTGCTATAGCAACAGAAAGTGCTGCTCTAATAGTGATGATAGTTCAGGCCAGACCAGTGATGGAGGATGGACTTCATCAGAAACATGCAGTGGCTGTGTTGTTCAGGGTGATTTATTTGTTCAAAGCTATTGTTATATTTATATTTGGCTTCTGACTGTGGCAGGTTTGACTGTATAAGAGTTGTGAGGTTGTGAATGCATTTGCGCTGTGTTTGTTCTCACGAATCATTTTCTTCTCATTTGGTATATATCAACAGGCCTATCTATCATACTATTAATTAAAGTCCAATAATGTGCAGAAAAAGTTGCTTAAGGGTGAATTTGGATTCAAATCATTTCAATTTGTATTAATGGCTTTGGCGATTAAAGTGTGAGTCTGGCATCATTTAGGCTAATATGAAATAAAAAAAATAATATTTTATTTCATTTGAGTCCTATGTCCAATAAATAAATGGTCATTTTTGCAAGACGAATACTGAAAATTAAAAATTGGATTGGATGTTAAAGTACTCATGTTTTGTCTGTAATTAATGGTGTTTGCCAGTGGAATCATCATTATTAATATAAGTTAATATTTCAATAATTTCACAACTGATTTGCATGTTCTCTAATATTGTTTAATGATTACATTGACATGCAGGTAAACAAATATAAAATATATGTAAAAAATGGAAATGCATTCATCTTAATTTGACATTTTTATGATTTAATGAATTATTAGCTTTTCATCAGCTCATAAACCCTCTGCAGTTATTTCATTTACTCTTGTTTTGGAAACCCTGAAGCAATGTGATGTTTAATGCATTTCATTAAAAAAGGAAAAAAATTGATTATATTTTATTTCTCTTAGTTTTTTCAAAGCAATGCAAAATAGTCAGAATATATTCCCTAAAATAAGTCATCTGAATTACATGATACACACACACAGAGAGAGAGATAATGTAATTCAGATTACTCATTTTATGTTCTGATTACTTTTGGATTACAGTCTGTACTGCTTGAACTTTCTGCAGCAGACCCTCCAGGGCTTGTGTTGTGTTCTGTTCTGACAGTTGTATAAATATCTCTGAGAATATAATTTCACATCCATCAAGTCCTTTCACATACCACGAGCGCTTGTCCTTGTGAAGCTTGAATTCTCATTCATTTGTTTGTAACGTTTACAGAGTCTGATATTTCTAGACATTTTTACAACTAGCAAAATCACAAGGGTCTTTAAAACGAAACCTAAGGAGCTTAAAGCATCAATCTCTGCTATTGGATGACCTTGGACCCATAACCCACGACAATAAAAATCTGCACTGCGGGATGAAGACTGTCCCAGCAGACGAATATTTCACAATACAACTGTGTCCACACAGTGACTGAGCTTCTCTGTACAAAACCCCCTGAGAGTTTTAAAGAACTGTAAGTGCTCGTCTTCATCATTGCTTTTACTGCCAAGGGTTTGACCTTTCATCAGATGATGAAATCGCATCATATGACCCCTTTAAGAAATGTATAAGAAATACTTTAAAAATGCTTAAAATCCTCATATGTTGTTATCTTTCTCGTTGTGACTTTATGTCGTGGTTTTAGAGCGGCAGACAGGCAGCCTGTCTCTGGTTTGCCCGTCTCAGCAGCAGATCACTGTAAGCCTGGCCTGCTGCTCTCGGCTCAGTGCGGATGAATGGGAAATGTGGAATAAAGGCTTCTGACAGGGAACATCACACTCACGCTCCTGCGCCTGGAATATGCTGATGTTAGCATGTTTCCTGCCAGGATCACCTGTATTAATCTGATGTGCTCAAACACTATATATGAAAAAGTAATAGAAGAAATGTTGATTTCTTCAGAGACAGATGGAAGACGGGATCAGATCATGTTTTTGTGTCTGGTACAGCAGTCGTCTGGTGTATTTATTTCTCCAGGGGAAGTTTTATTATTTCTACTTGCAGATGCTGATCTAAAGTACATTTCTTTACTACGGTTTCCCTGGTGTGACCTGAAGTTTAGTATTAAGTGTACTATGATGGTATATAATATGGTGACCATATTGGTAACAACAAATATAATAATTGTTGGCATCTGTCTGATTAAGACAATATTTGAAGCAGATAAAATCAGAACTTTTTTAAATTGATGTCAACTATTTTTAATAAAAAAATATTTATTTTCTTCAGTGAAGGCTTCAGAAAGTACTAAACAATCATCTTTTTTACTCAAGATTGAAGTGGTTCTATGCTTATTTTTACTTGCTTGTAAAATTCTAGATTGAAAAACAATCAAAACTGATTTGTAATATCAGAAGTCATTGGTTAAAATAGTTTGTATTCATATGTATTATTTTACTTATCAGTTAGTAATTTAATAAAGTATTTATTTATTTATTGGTCTTCTTGCCTTTGGGCATGTAATTGTTATTTGTTGAAGACAGTGTTATTTTACTATTAGTTATAAATTATTATAGTATTTATTACTAATTTTAATTATCTTAAAATGTAATTATTTGATTGTTTAGTTAAAGTATTGTTTGTTTGTTTTTCATTTTTATTAGTTTCTAATAAAAAATTTGTTTAGCTTTTATGTAATTTCAATTTTAGTACTTTAACTTATTTAGTTGTAGTTAATAACACTAGTTCTAGGTGGTGTTTTTTTTTTAATGTATTTAAATAACATGCTTAGCATGATTAGACTGTAAATCTCTGTATTATAATATTCTGGTGTAGTCAACCTTCCATGACTGAAATTGCACTACACTGAAAAACACTGGGCGTAAAAACAATTTTTCGGTCACACTTTTTTTAAGATCCAATTCTCGTTATTAACAAACCATTAACTATGACCTTTGCCTCAATAAACTCCTAATTTTCTGCTTATTAATAGTTAGTAAGGTAGTTGTTAAGTTAATATATTGAGTAGGATTAGGGATGTAGAATATGGTCATGCAGAATATGTGCTTTATAAGTAGTAATAAACAGCCAATTTTTCTTGGTGGTAGGCCATGAAGCTCTCTTTCTAGGGTTTGAACCTACATCCAGTCATCAGCCAAGATTTTGAAACACTAAACCACAAAACAGAAAAAAGGATGGCCACTTGAAAAGCTCACACTGTTGCCATTTATTTTGTAATCTTGTGTTTCCTTGCACAGATTGTACTACAGTGATCCTCATCCGTCCAGAGCGGTGGAGCTGCTGCGGGTGGGGAAGCTGCAGCACTACCAGGGCAGACTGGAGGAGGCTCAGGGGAGCTTCACACAGGTCTGTTAGCACACGCTCTTTGGCCCTATAACCCACTGCAGAGAGATCAGGAGCGTAATGAGACCCTCGATGGTCATTCTGCCCTGCAGTCTGATTGTTGTCTGAACGGTGGTATGGATGTCTCCGCATTGACTCCACTGTGCGTCTGCTGCTGTTAGACTAGATTTAGTGATTTAAAGGCAGTCGGAGTCAGGCAGACTATGTGCAGATGGCAAAATAAGGACAAAAATGTTGCAAAATGCTTTAGTATCTTGATGCTTAGAGGTTTTATTATCCTAATGCTTAAATCACAGCCTTTATTGATTTTATGAAAAGACGACTGTGACATAAATATGACAAAGGCGCCAATATTTTATTTATAATATAATATAATATATAATCATTTTAATATATTGCAATGATATAATATCATTTTATCTTTAATTTTAACTTTTCTGCCACATTTAGAGGATGTGGGCCAACTTCTAAACTTTAATATATAAACTTAAATAAAAAATAATATAATGTAACGCAACGTAACATAACATAATATAATATAAGCTTTTTATTTTTAATGTTAACTTCTCTGCCACTAAAATTTCACCCACATTTAGAAGATGTGGGCCAAATGATAAACTTAAATATATAAACGTATATAAAAAATAATAAACGAATAAATGTAAAATAATAAATATTAAATTTAAAACACTAAAATTTACAGAAATTCACAGAAATATAATAAAAGGCACCAAAAGTTTATTAATATAATATAATCATATTTAATTTTTTAATATACTATAATAATTACATTTGATCTTTTTTTTTTTACCTTTTAATTATAATGGAAGAGTGTTAATATGCCACATTTCTCTTACTAAAATTTCACCCGTGCCGCTCTTGGTGCAGCTGCCAAATCCCACGGTAACATAATGGCTGCTTTGGACTCTCCCAGCTCCAGTTTCAATCCTTTAAATGAATGTTCTTCCCTCACATGACAATCGTTTAACTCAAGCATCTCTCTTGCTCCCGCTCAGGCCTATGACATCATGAAGGTGACCCACGGGACGGCTCACGCCCTGACTAATGAGGTGAGCAGAAAACTGAGCGAGTGCCAGGCTGAGCTGGGTCGAGTCTAGGCTGATGTGTGCCATCATACAGAGAGCGACTGCTGCAGTCCCGCCACAGCCCCAAACTCCTCTCCGACAATACACTCAATATGTTTCTGGATGGTTGTGTCTGCCACCTGCTTTTGTGCCGCTGTGTATCAAACCAGCTGCTTTAGAATTCAACTGAAAAAACAAAATCTACATTACTCTGCTGTGCTTTTTCAGTCCATTTCAGATTGCTCATCCCATTTCAGATTAGTTTTTTGTTTTTTTGTGGAATTCATTCCACTTTTTTCTATTCTGAATTTTTTTGCAATAATGATTTGCAATAATGATAATGATTTGCAGCTGCATATTCTTAGATTCATAAACATATATGTGATATATTAGTATATAAATGCATCTGATTGAGTATTCAGTAAATCCTTAAATTAATATGTTTCTTGTTGTTCTGTTCACTTGGGAGAAATACATTATTCAAATATGTGTTATTTTAGTATTATTTAAAGATCACATTTTAGTAATTTTGTAGTTATGGACTATATGCACATTGATTTTTTTTTTAAGTTTAGGCTTCTCGTTTTTTCAGATGTATTTTTCAGTTATCAACAATGATTTTTAATAGTTATAGTTTTAGTTAACCATAACAACACTGATTGAAAAATGACATGCTAGACTAGCATTTTAAGATGTAGCTGCCTTGTTCTACATAAAGGAATGGTATTTCATCAGAATGTGAGGTCTAATGGAAACAAGAATGGTACAAATGAGACAGAACGTCAAGGAAATGTTTTTTTTGAGGTGTGTTGTTTAGAAAATCTATAAGCACATTAGTACATTTGCCCAAACTATTGTGAGGTACTGTAGTAGCTTTTCAAATCTTTGACTTAATGACCCTTAAAAATGACTATAGATGGCTTAAGTGTGTTTTTGATCACATAATCAACTGTTGTGAAAGGCAACACCTTTTCAGCAATAGCTGCTGTGATTCATAAAACCACTCCAAACAGCACACTTCAGATTTGTGCTTCAGTTTCTCATCATTAACTTCAATCATCAGAGAGACGATGCTTTTCGCTCTGATTTCATAAACATATTTCAGCAGCTGCTTTGTGTTTTTATGCTCTGCTTTTACCATCTGGGTTGTGTTATTGCAGTAAGTCCTCGATTTGTAATGTTGGGTCAATCCTTAATTTCAGTAAATATTCCCATCATATGTCTTAATATGTTGAATCAAATACTTTTACAGTTTTTTGAAAATGAAAATCACATTAGTAAGTTTTCACACTTATCACAGTTAAGTGAACGCAACGGATGATTTTAATAATTTCAGTACTCTGGTTTGAACAGGTGCTGCCATTTATATGCAAACATGAAAAACTCATTTTATTTAGAAATTTTCCAGGTGTTTCACTAATCAGAATGTTTTCTTGTGAATATTGTTTTAATTGACTTTAATATGACTTTCTTTTGTATAAAAAAAAATAACTTAAATGATTTTAGCAAATGGCTGCAATATAACAAAGAGTGAAAAATTTAAGGGGGTCTGAATACTTTCCGTACCCACTGTACAAGGAACTGGCTTTTGTTAATAATATCCTTTTTGTTAATAATAATAGCCACATCCTTCAGGAAGTGATGTCATTTTGGTGGTAAAACAACAAGTGATGTGTAAAAAAAAATCTAATTATTAATAAAGTTTGTGTCTGAACTTATACTGAAAATCTATGTAAGCTAGAATAGAAGTCTTTTGTTAGTCTAGTTGGTCTGGATCAGCACAGATGACACTTTTCCGGACATTTTTCCAGAACGTGTTGTTGTTGCTAAATCTTTTTAACCCTCCCGAGTGTCAGGATACAGATAGACGGGATTACACGTCTCATTCCACCTCCTCTCCTCTCATAACTTGGGGCCACTAAAGCAAACAGCTTTTGGAGGTGCGCTTCTCTGAGATGAGATAACATCTTAAAAAATGTCATTCTGTTGGATAGAATGGGGCTTAAGAGGAAATAGAGGAAGTTAGTATAGAGCGACGACTTGTCAGCAGTCCAATCTCGAACTCACACTCTGAGCCCTTTGTTAAGCCTATGACATCAACGAGTCCAACCACAAATCTTGTTTTGAGTCATGTTTCACCAAAAATCAAAAGGAATAAAATTGTATTTTTACCTAACCCTCAGGTGCTGTTCGCATGGCGGTCAAACATTTTAATGAAATGAATGTACTATACTTTAGATCAATAACATTTTTTATTTACGTTTTATGTTATTCAGTTGTATTTATGGAATAGTGATGATCCATTTATTACCCGTTAACCACTTTTTGAGCATAGACCTGAAAATGAAATTTCCAACTTTAAACTGTTGAAAATCTTGAATGTTTTGGAGCACAGAAAATTGGTCTCTTTTTAAAGAAGACACTTGGAAGTGAATAAAAAAAGGGTTTAAAAAATGAAACCATAAAAAACGTATACACGTTTAAGTTTATTATTATGGCAATTTTGACTACTATTATGACTATTTTTAAATTTTATGTGAAATATGTATTTACCAAAACTTCTTGTACTCCAAATGTGAGGTTGATATAAAACAATGGGCATTCAGTAAGTTTGTTTGGCTGCAGAACCAAACATTTCCACTAAATTAAATTTGCTTCCCATTCATTTCCACTGTCACTTCTCAATAGTACAGATGTGACTTAGTCAGGACCATTTAACCGTTTTGAATCATGTCCATGTTTTGTTTTGTTTTTTTCACATAGCATGTGCCAAAAGCAAGTAAAAATTCAAAAAATTGACTGAACAGCACCAGAAGATTATAGAAAATTAGGTTTTATGACCTATAAGGGTCACCTTCCGTTCACTTTTGTTATTACAATGAGATCTTCCACACTAAGCATCAGGATCCACTGATAAGATGGGTTATTAGCAGTAAGCTCATTGGCTGCATATGCAGCATGAACCAATCAGCTAGTGCCAAGTTGTTTAACTCTCTGAATATCATCAGTTATGTTAACACCCCGTCAGAAAGCGCCATCTAGAGTTTCATGACTGAACTATATATTTGTCCTGTCAGGGTGAATTATCATATACTTGTAAGGCTCCCTTGTGTTCTTTTAATGTCTGATATGATTTTCTATCGAACTGCATCTGTGGTTGATGGCTGTTTATTAAAGCCGATGAAGATCACTCTTGTCTGCAAGCAGCTTAAGACATCTAAAATGAAGCTTAGGGTATATTGAATTAAAATAATGAATAAAAAAGACCAACTAAAGGTTGCTTTCGTTCTTTTTTTATCAGAAATTCCATAAAAAAATAAAAAAAGATTTATGCTGCAGATCTGCAAAAACGTAGTGGACAACTAAAAAAAAAACGAAATAAAAAAAACGTAGTATCTGAGAAACGTTTTAAGAGAGGATTCAAATTATTTTAGTTGTCAATTAGTTGTGCAGAATAAGGCAGAAAAAAAGAATGAAGCTTCCAAAACATCCTTTATTTACATCAGTCCGTATGCCAATCAAACTCTCATTCAGGCTGTGTTTTTCCCCATAGAACAAGAAATCATGCCGACTGTCGCAGTATTAACATGAAGCAATATGTTGACAACTTTCCTCATCTTCCCTCATACATCTATAATGCCAAACTCTGTCTTTTTTGTTTTTCCTTTCTATTCACATGACTTAGTGAAAGGAGGCGAGGCCTTAGTTTCGCAACCATGTTCGTGAACATTAAAGCGCATTTAGGACGATATTCGTTGCACATTGTACTGCATATCACACAATGCATTACTTGAACGATCCACAGATGCCGAAGAATGTGACGGCTTGTGATGAAAAAAAACAGTTCATGAATAAACATGGAAATTGCTTGTTCTCTCGTCTCCCATGATTTGGCGATAAATGCGTTTACAAAGAAATGCAAAAACAAAACCTGTATAATATATAAAGAAGAACAAAAGTGAAATATAGAAGTATATTTTATATATATGGCATGAATTTAGCTACTGTACAATTTTAATGCATAGTGCTTTGCAGGCTAAATAAATTATAGAATATAAGCATCTCTGTCATACAGGCCTCCTGAGGTAAAAAATAAATAATATCCTTCATTCATTACAATGCCAAAAGGTCAAAGGGCAGCAGGAATGTCGCTCCCCTTTGCTTTGGCGAGGGTCAGGGCAGGGAAGAGGAGTGAAGCGGGAATGGAAAAGCGTATGAAGTCTTTAGTTAGTACCAGAAACAGGCTATATACTCAACTATAAACGTTTAGAGCTGAAACTGTCTCAAGCACCATATATATACTGTATATATAAACAGATTTATACCAAAGTGTCAGCACACTTACAATGAGACCACATAGAGGGAAAGCCAATGACCAGACATATGCACCAATCTGATCTGGAATGCAACACAACACTAAATTTGACTAAGTTTTATTAGACCAAAAAAATTATATTGGGAAGTTACACTTTAAAAATGCCCAAGAAGTTGGCATGCATTAAAGTTTTTGTTTCTTATTGATATTAAAGATCCTTGTTGGTCCTGCCAGACTGAGGATTCTTCTCGCCTCTCAACCGGGACATGCTGGAGCGGCCGAGCCCGAGGCGTCACACTGCTGAAAATGCCAACATAACCGCAGGGGATGTGAAAAATCAATGAGCCAATGCCAGAATCATTCTTCTAGATGTCGTGCTGTGCTATTTCATGGAATACGAAACACTCTATGTGGTCTCAGTGTGTCCAAGAATACAAAAAATGATATAAAACACACGTAACAGTTCAGTTGAATGTGACTAGTGTATAACAATACAAATACCGAGACAGACTCAAAGAGATTAAACACAATTTAACAAGCAGTGTTTTCATTTTCTTTTTCTTGTTACTTTTTAAACTTTTTTTGTTTGTTTGTTTTGTTTGTATGCATGTTTTTTTAAGCTAGCACCATCTGTACACAAATATGGATTTTTGTCCATAGATTTCCAAGATATTGAAGTGTTCACAAGGCACTTGTCGTCCTTTTTGTTGTTTTTCATTCATCTTCTTTAACGATTTGTTCTTTTATCCACATATGGCAATATAATTAGTTTGTTCACAGCAAGCGAGCAAGCCATTTTCGAAAACGACGACTCCGTAGTTCCAAAGTGCTCATCCATCTATGTTGGAGAATGCTTTTTTTTTTTCGTCAACTCTCCAAGTCCAGCGTTTTCCGTTCCCCACCAAAATCCATTTTAGAAAAAATATTAAGCCTTTATATTTTCCCAATCATTTCAGCCATCATTGTGTTGATGAACTTTATAACTTGCTCACA